AGATGTGATCAGTATGTTTTCAATATATATATCCCATATATATTATGGTAATAACCATTAACAGCATATGGCAATTGCATACAACTATCTCTATCACACGTTTTTGTTTTACAGTTACAGATCGGTTATTATTATATTAATATGTATGCTAAAAAGCTAAAATAATGGAAATGGCAGCCATTTGAAATTTTAATATCTCAAAATGTGTACAACATTTAGTTAACTGCTGTTGTCATTTTTATGAGTGGATTTCCAATTGAATACTGCATCTTAATGACATAAACTTACAATATTATTGACAATTTTAGGAAAAAATGGCGGCCATTTTGAAACTGCTGGCAACCCCCCCCCCCTTACGTATAAAAAAATTTTTTTGGTTGTTTTTTTTTAGATGTTTATTCTACATCATTTCCAATTTTTAAAAAATATAGCCAAAAAAAAATGCAACCAACCAAAGTTTGCTGTGTCTTTTAAAATACAGAATTGTGATACTGTATGGTTCAGTTTGGTTTTTATCCTTTTGCAAGCTTTAAAGTTTTGTTTAATAATACTATACTTGTAGTAGTAATAGTATTAGTACTAATAATAATAATAATAATAATAATAATAATAATAATAATGGAGATGATGATAATGATGATGACGATGATAATGATAGGCCTAGTGATAATTGATAATAATATTAATAATGTTAAAATGCGAACAAAATTGTGCCAAAAGCGAAAAATAAAGTTTGATTTGTTGATCATAATATTATAGTATATTATAGTTAGGCCAAGTTGTCCTGGATATTAAGTAGATCCCTGATAAAAGTACATGAGAAATTTGTTGGCGTTTCATTTTGACTGTATAATGGTGATGAGATGATGATGAATTTTACTATGTAAAAGTGTCATTTCCGGCCATCTAGAGGTACTATTTCCTCAAATTTTCTCACCTCAGCCCCAACCATTGTGGGGTTGAGTTGGTTTTGAAGTCACGGCTTCGACGTATGTAAAGTACGTACTCAAAGACATGTTTTTAAGCTTTGTTTTCTATGGTATATCACACACATTAATAACATCTCTATGGTTGCCGAAAATCCCTGATAAGAGACCACGAGAATTTTTTTTTTTTGGTCCTTCATTTGGACTAATAGTTATGTGATGATAATGAATTTTATTAAAAGTGTCGTTTCTGGCCATCTAGAAGTACTATTTCCTCACATTTTCGCACCTCAGCACCAACCATGGTGGTGGGTGTCGACTTACAAAATGTCCTCCTCCTCCACCTTTCAAAACAGACCTCCGCCCTTCGCTGGCGGGTATGACATTAAACTGCATCGAGCCGGCACCTGACTCAGATTATGTCTTGTGACTGCTGAGGAGATGGTGCATAAATTTGTTTTTAGGATGTGATCTGGGTTTTCATGCCCATTTTTCGTGATTATGACTATTTTGGTTAAGATTTTTCTTTCTTGAAGAAAAAAAAAATATATATTCAAATTTAAGTATGAGATTGTAATTTCCGGCCATCTAGAGGTGCCCTAATCATAAATTTTCTTACCTCATTCTGTGAAAGTCCCTCCCTGGGTCACCTTTCTTTCAAATTCCTGGATCCGTCACTGTTGATACATTATAATTATTGTTGGGCCTACTAATATTATTTATGATGTATCTAATGCAATTTTCACTTTATCCTCTCAAATCAGTCCTTAAAACGTGCGTAAAAACCTGTCTCTTATACACATCTAGATGTGTATAAGAGACCTTTCCTCAACGTATTACGCTCTACTTACGGAAAAAATACCCGTTGGATAAACTTGATTTTGAAGATTGTTTTACAAAATTTAAACTTTGTTCTAAAACTAGGGCATTGGATGTAAAATAATTATTTAGATATCTGAATACAATAGTGGTTTAGGCCCAATAACAAATTATTAGTTTATCACCCTCGCGTAAATGTCTTCTGTAGTACAAAAAAACAAATTATTTTTGAAGATTATTTTTTTTAATTGTTTTTATTATTTTTTTTTTTCATTTTGTTTTTATTAAATAGTTAGCAGATATTGTTTTGTATTATCTCTATCATGTTTTACTTGAATATCAATGCACCAGCAAACAACCCAAGCGTGATATTTGCCTTTAGCAAAATATCAAATAAAATAAAATATCCTGCCTCTCTCATCACCTTTCCAGCCTAGATAGAATGGTAAACTAATAATTTTTTTATGGGGTCTCATGTAATTTTTTTTAAAGCTTTAATTTATTTGTCCTACTGATTAGGCATTGGAAGAGTTTGCTAAACTTATAAATGCTTTACATATGTTTAATGTGGTATGGGACCAATTTTCCTTTGATAGTATATCGGCAATAGATTAAATTATGTTTTTAGGCTCCTCAACTCCTTCTTGAACAAAAAATAAAATACACAGAAATTCAATGTTTGATAAATTCTGCAAAGAGTATGTAAAACGAGCATGGAAAAATAAGATCAGAGAGGAAGTTTACTAAAATATTAATTAAACTCTTGTATTGGCCTATTTCTCTCTTAGTTAATGTGTAAGCTTTTGTTTATTTTGCTTTAATTATCCTATCTGTCTTGCCATATTATGAGCAAACACTAGTTTATTATTCTATATTTACTGTATATTTAAACTTTGGTAAGTTTTACAGAAGCAGGACTCAAAGTTTGGGCACGGACTGTCGTTTGCACAGTGTCTTCTTCAAGTGTGGATGTGTATTTTGTACGCTCGGGCTTGTGTTCGAGTTTTCGGCTGGTTTCAGAAGTGCTGCCTAGCACGGTTCACAATAATTAGGCCTATAATTTATTTAAACATTAGTTGATAATGCTTATTATGGCGACGCTTCAATTGAGCTTAGTTCAATACATCCACGATTAAGCATGTAACCTATGCACGCAAATGACAATAATGCACGTACTGTACACAAATTACGATAATTCATATCGGTAGGGCGTTACACGCAAATATCTTGATGGCCTACAAATGTGTGTGTAAAATAAAAGTTGATTATATGTTTAAATAAGTTGATTATATGTTTAAATTGTCAAACCATACGGTATTTTGTAAAATTGTCTAATAATCAAATAGTTTTTTCAGCCTTAAGAGTTATCTCGATTTTTAGACTCAGTTGTCATTATTTCTCTATTTCGAATTATTGTTATATAAAACACATAATGATACGGAACGGAATTAAATATCAAACATTCTATAGAAATAAATAGACTTATAGCTAAAAATGATATTCGTTGATCTACAAATGGAATATTATACTGTAACATTACGAAAATAAATAACCGGTAGTTTAATGCCACATTCGCGCTATGCAGGCATGCTTATTACGGAATTAGACGTTATTATAATAGTTACCTCTGATTGAATTCTGACAGTTTTTTCAGTTGGAAACCATCCTCTTTTGTTGCCGATTTCTCCATATAACCATTTATTGTCATCAGAAATGTGCAAACCTACGATGGTCTGTCCTTCTTCAAAATGAAGGGCATCCGATTGGTTCGTAGCCTTATAATTGTCGATGGCTTTGTAACCCATACCGGGCGTAAAGCTACTGGAAGCCATGATTAACCTGTTGACCACGGTTGCACCTAACCTGCCCTAATTGAAGTCTCTAATCACTTTAAAAAGAAAACTGAAATCCACGACAAACATTATTATCATGGTTTTGTTAATATGTCATCTATATATGTATTGACTTAACGTACTTGATCACTGAGACTTGTTTATTTAACACATTGGCCATAAAATAATCAGCTCAGCTTCTAATATGGAATGTAACAGAAGTGCCACTGTGAGGCACAGGATGGGAGGTATGGGCCAGTAATACAAAAGCAGCGGTAGTCTGTAATCGTGAGTACAGCTGTAATTAACAATTAATAGAATAACAACGAAAGATAAACTTTAGGCCTATATCATGAATTGCACTATATACTTTATACAACTTGCGAAAAATATATTTTCATTATGATTTTCGTGAAAAATATCATAAGAAAGGTTTTCGAAAAGATCAGAAAGCTAAAGATTAATGTTGATATTTTGAGACACCTCACCAGCGGCGTAGCTAGGTGCAAAGGGGCCCCAGTGTAAGATTAATTGTGGGCCCTTTAATGTGATAGGGGAATTTCCTAAAATTCTCAGAAAATTCACCGTAAGAATTGCTTCTTTTAACCCTACACCTGAAGGCCCAGGTTAGTAATAAATACTATAATAATCGGATTAATAACTATTTTATGAGGGACATATTCGGTCTTAGCAACTGTTCTAAAAACTAATCAGGAAAATTGATGGCACGTAAAATTAAAAAATTGCACGTGGCGGATCAGGGAATTCAAAATGGAGGGGCCAGGGAGGGATTTTCACAAGTGAAGGATGAAGACCACCTCATCCCCATGTTTGGGGATGAGGAAAGCAGTGGCGTATCTTGAAGTTGGGGTGTTGATGGGGGTGGGGAGCGAAGGTGAAGTGGGGTCTCGATGATCAGTCTCGAAAAATAAGGTGATTTTTAACTAATTGACCGTGATTTTTGGCGTGGGGAGGGGGTGGGAGCGACCGGGATAGATAGATAGATAGATACGCCAATAGAGGTAAGAAAAGTTATGATTATAGGACCTCTACATAGCCGGAAAGGGCACTCTCAGACTTAAAATATTAAATGAATATATTTTCCTGTTTTTCCCCATTTATATAATTTGGAAAAGATAGGGGGTTGGGCAGGTTGGGGCCCCAAGTTGAATACACCACTTAATTGAATACAACACAGTAATCCATAATTAGGCCTACTCCTTTAAAAACCGAATAGGCCTATTATTAAGGGCCCACTGGTCGTTTTTTTTCTCTTCAATATTAAGTTGGAAATTATTTTTAAATATTTTTTAGGTCTATTTATGAAAGGGCTCCTAATAGCCCTGGGCCCTAGTTCTTTGCACTGGCTGCATTTCCCGTAGCTACACTGCACCTCACCTTCCGTATCATTATAGCACTAAAAGCCCATTTTGATTTCTTCAGTGTTAATCCCACGAAAATCCATTGACCTAAATCCAGGGGGAGTAGTTCTGGTGTTGATTAGGCTGTACAATTGTGATACCGGTACCGTAATTTCTGTTTTCCGATGAGTGTAGGCCCTACTGAGTTTTTTAACGGGCTGATGGGACGTATGGCATACGAGACTAGCGGCTTAAACGTCTCATCCGAAAGGCGATGTGCTAATCAAACTTGCATTTCAGCATGCCAGCTAAAATAAAATACACTTTTTGTTTTATAAGAACCAGTGAAATTTGCACAGTCTCAGTGTTCTTATTTTTTTATTTTTTTATTTCAGGCTCAAAATGTTCTTATTTTGTTCTTATTTTACACACTTTTCAAACATAAAAAATTATTTTTGTACAGAAGTATACTTATGTACTGCAATGTAGGTAAAAATGGCCCCGAAAAAAAAGTGGCCCCTGAAAAAAAGGCCCAGGTAAAAATGGCCCCAAAAATGACAGGTACACCTACTGTACTGTATTATAGTAAATAGTCACATCTACTGCACATAAGGTAGATATATTTTTTGGGGTTTTGTATTTAAAAAAAACATAAAAACCTCATTTGACATTTTTACCTCAGTCTCAATTTGTTCTTATTTTGTTCTTAATTTTTAAGCAATTCCAGCCTCAGTGAGTTTATGCAAAAGGGGGCATTTATTCGAATACATATGGTATTTTTCTTGTAAGTTGTTCAATTCTGTTGAAATCCGTAGATAAAAAGAGAAGTACGTATACTGATGAGTGACGAATGTGGTATGAGTTTCTATTTTCATTATTTTGTTTAGCCAATGGCTGAGTGGAGTTTTAGTGCATAAATTTGTTCGTAATGTGATTCTACTGTTCTTGCAGAGGAGTTGACATAGAACTACGCCGATATTAAACTTTTAAATATGGCTCATTATTCGCGAATTGATTTCGTGAATATAACTGACGTTTTACGATTAAGTATTATACAAAATTATTCTGCTTCACATCCCATCAACTAGCTGCATCAAAGAATATAATTATATTGTTTTCGAATTATCCAGACTAAATCTGGGATAATTTCAACGAAAGTTCAGGAACCTATTCGTAGTAGTCCTATTGACCTTGATGCAGCGACTCATCAAAAGTTTTAACTCATGTTTAAGCCATTTTCAACGTATACCTATACAAATCTACTTCACTTATAATCGTATAAGCATGTGTTTATATTCCATAAAGAGTTGGGCGGTTTAAATAGTAATTATCTTCCATTCACTTGCAGAAATTAATAATAGTACAATATTGGCTACGGATATACCTAGTTGTGTAAGGGGAAATATTCCGGAAAAAATTAAGGACAATGGGCCAAAACTTTAAATATAGACTTATATATACAATAATACAGACATATACACCTGTCTCTAACAACTAACCGCAGAATCTGTCTCTTATACACATCTAGATGTGTATAAGAGACAGCATAGGCTATGTGCGTCTAAAGCATAAACGACTTTCTAATTAAAAAATCAGGAATATCAAATTACATTAAAAAATATTATAAAAACATATATTAATACATCATGTTTTGTATAACAAATAAATTGACTATATCTTATTCTTCTGTTTCCTCTCAGTTCAAATTGTGTTCTTATTTTATTACCAGACTTGTCCATCACCGCCGAACAAGCGCGCTTACATTATAGACCATGATATTGCAATCAACGGGTGTATTGCTTATTTGAAAATTAATCAAACCCATGGAGAATATAAAAATTGCTTCACATAGGCTATGTGCGTCTAAAGCATAAACGACTTTCTAATTAAAAAATCAGGAATATCAAATTACATTAAAAAATATTATAAAAACATATTAATACATCATGTTTTGTATAACAAATAAATAGTTACTTTCAATCGAGAAATATTCTTTTGTAGGGTAGAATTTAAGCAATTTAGAGATTCTCGCACAATAAAGACGATGATAACATGCCTTCAACCTTGAAGTTGATATCTTGAACCAAATGATGTTTACCTTGTGCCCTTATTTTGGTTGTGTTTGTGGATACACACAAAGCAGAACAGTGACGAATCGTGCATTTTGCCAATAAGAATAAAATGACCGCGGATTTGTAGGTGCTTTGATAGTTTCTTCCAATTTTATCACTTTTAGTAAAGGCCATAAGCTTTATGCCTCCCTGCCCTAAGTATAATCTTCAAAACCAAGGAATGTACATTTACATTTGACCAATGTTAAACTTTATAAAATATATTCGATTTTGGGATATATTTGATGTGTTTGAACATGATACATATTTTATCACTTTTAATATCATTGCTTTTAAGTATAATCTTCAAAACCAGTTACGTGTACGTTGAACCAAGGAGGTATAGAATAGTACCTCCTTGGGTGAACTAATATTAATGCTTTCATCAATTCTGTCTCCATTTGTCATGTTTGAGCATGACACATTTTTATCACTTTTAATACCTATTAGAGACCTCAAAATAATAGTCAAAACAATATACATTTATTGAGACAATGTTTTAACCTTCACAAAACATATTAAGACTATTTGTGGCTCCATTAGTCGTGCTTCAGAATTGTCCACTATTTGAGTGACATATTTAACACGTTGACCTAAACAAGGTACATTGATGCAAAAAGGATGTGACCGTTTAACTTGTGATCATGTTTACATATCTATTGTAAGCTTCTGGATCAAATCCATATTATGAAATCTGTCGGTATACTTTTATGGTTTCCATTACTTCCCTTACCTTTATGTATTAAACGGTAAAACAAAACGAGTAATTTGTACTGTACAGTACTTTAGCAGTGGTGGCTCCAGTCCCCTACCCCCACCTACACCGGAAAGAGGCCCTCCCCTGTCAGAGAGCTGAACACAATTCACCTGGGGAAAAAAATCCCTTGTAATTTTTACAAATTATAAGATTCTAGACCTAAAATCATTCGCCCGACACGTTATTATCAGATATAGGCCTATTCACTCCACGTCCGTCACGTTGGGTAAGTGTGCGCACCATTGCTGTCCTGCAGCTTTAATCATCCACATTATTTCTCGCCAACATTTATTACTATGCTTTTTACTATACTTTATTTTTGGCATATAATAAGTAGGAGGACCATTGTGAATGTTTGGTTACTGAGGGCTGCACACAAACGTTTCATGTTGAAAATTTAAAGTTTCCATGTCATTCATGCTCAGCTTTTACTTTTTAGACAATTGGAATGTAACAGCAAGGTGTTTTCTAAACTAAGATTGTAGACAGGCCACACACTTAGTGGACCGCAACAAAACTTAGCCTACCTTTGCTCTGTATTTCAACAAATAATATCAAAATGCTACCAGTGGCTGATCTAGGTATAGGACTTCAACATGGGGGGGGGGGGGTGCCCGAGTGGTACTTTCACAGATGGAGGATCTATATCACCTCGGTTGGGGCTGAGGTAAGACCATTTGTGATTATGGAACCTCTAGATGACCGGAAGCTCAGACTTAAAATTTGAATATGATTTTCTTTATAATTATCTCTATATATAAAAAAAATTGAACAATCTATGGGAGGGGGTGCGGATTGGCCTCCTTGAATCTGCCACTGCCTGCTGCAGCAGTTGAAAGAGAAGGTTTGGAATTAAAACCAAGACTTGACACAAAGAAAGTTAAGTATTTTAGTGTACATGCTTTGGCACGAATGATCATACTATAAAATCTATTTTCCTATTTTTAACGGCTAAAATAATACACGTATTTTGGCAACTTACAAGTTATTTTCATTCATTTTGACCTTTGGTAAAAAGGTTTTTCTCTGTCGGATAAATTTATTCATGGTCTTTTAAAAGATATTAAGTTAGTTACGGTAATTTATGCTTATACCGTGAGATTGATTAGTAACGAAGAAATTGTTAGTTCAGACAAAGACCAGAATAGTAATTAAAAAACAGCTCGTAAACATGCTGTTTATAAAAACCAAAGGTTCAGAGGTGAACCAAAAGTAACCGTATAAATATAAAACTTTGATGTAGAGACAAAGAAATTCAACAAAGTACACATCTCTGATATTAATTTCCTACAAACACCAAGGTTGAATTCAATAGAACTATGAACGTTATTTAGATTATATTTGTCACATTGAGTGGGTTAGCATGTGGAAAACAAATCCAGGCTCTATTATAGGACTAAACAACTAACCGCAGAATTGACTAGCTGGAACACGTTGTGCTGTCGTCTCCAATCAAACATTAATTCAGACACTTATTGACCACTCTCACGTGTATCATACTGTATATGATTGATTGATTGAATTTATTTGACGATAAACAGAGATACAATGAAACATTTTTAAACGATTAAGACATCTTAAAAGCTATAAAAAGATCAAGCATATGTGAAATTACCACACCAATTATTGGTAATCCTAAAGATTCTATAAATTTATTTACAATTCAAGAACAATAATTAAATTTGAATAATGAATGAATTTTAATAATAAAAAATAGTTAGAAAGACAAAAGAGTTAAAGACAAAAAACCAAAGACACAGACGAAGCTAAGATAGCCCAGTGAAAGCGAAATCAATTGTTTCCAATTGGGTCTACAATCAACGGGTACCGGTACATAATGAAAAACATAGAAAGGGGAGTGGAATCGCAAAGAGAAAAAAAATGAGAAAAAGTGGAGATTATTCGGTAAGCATTGTAAATTAAAATATTGCACTCTTTAACTTTAATAGAAAGTGCGTTCTAATGTATTATTGCACAATAGAAAAAAACTATTATAGAGACATATGACGTGGCAAGAGGGACTCTAACATTATATATAAAAGTAATTATTTAAGCGATGAAGTGATCAAATAAGAAAGACTAGTAATTATGGGGAAAAATGAAAGTATGACAAATCTCATGAATTTACCTCGATCACATACACTTAAAATTCCAAGTTTAGATAACGGAGGTTGAACAAGAAGGTTCGATAAATCTTACCGTACTACCTTGTTTTGGGTAGTTTAAAGTTTTGATTTGAGCTTATTGTTCCTGAATACCATGATGCTATATCCAGCATTGCTTAATGATACTAGCATTTTCGAGAATATTTATATTTTGTAATAATAAAATGCTGGATTGGATTTATTATGTGTAAATACCAAGGATAACCCACGAAAGTCTAGAAGAAGACTTATTTCCAGTGGGTCGTTCTAATGGTGATTGGGCAGTACACTGTGAGACAATCCCCTACTCTTTTCCGAAGAGTGTACTGCGTTCTTTAACGTGCACATGGGTCATTAATGCACACGGGTCATTAATGCACACGGGACTAACGGCTTAAACGTCTCACACAAAAGACGGTGCGCTTTTGTAACTTGTATTTCAGCCCTCAGCTAAAACACGAGGAGAGGCAGCGATGATAATTGAACCGGGGACTTAGAGATCTCCACGGTTTAGCGCACACACAGTGGCTACCACCAGATTAGCCGACTGAGCTAAGCTGCTACCGTATATGCCCAATAAAACTATATAAAAACAAATAAGTATTTTTCAATTATCAGGAAAACATTATTATAATGAATACAGATATAAATCCGTTTATTCATCCATCCACCATTGTCATGGGTTGGTTGAAGTAAAATTATATTGTTTGAATGAAATGCTACATTTAAAAATCAAATCATCAATCCATCGCCCATTAAGTTACTTTTATGCACTTAATTTCCAAAGTTAATAAACTTATGTACAAATGTGTATAAGTACAATATAAACAGAATATGTTCATTATCGAGTAATATTCTAGTGATATATTTACCGTTTAATTAGGCCTTTTAGAAACTTAATTGAATTAAATAATAATGATATACGCTAATCTGTATCCAAAATGTTATCATCTACATTTTTTCTTACTCAAATTTACAGATTGAAATAATAATGTAAAAAAAAATGAATGTTAATAACGATTGTCCTACCCGAAAACCAAAGTGATCAAAATGTGCACACATGTCTTCGATTAAGCCAATCGTTTTATTTCATTTCACAATAAGATGGTTAAGATGCATACGCATTTAACACTACATGATTTTCTTTACAGAATTCCACAGAGAACAAATAAATGAGAAACAATAAGATAATTTGACTTATTTAATACTATTATTTCAAGATTACAGAGCTTATTAATCTCAATTATTGAAATTCTACAGTTTCGGTACTCTGGTAAAACGATTTTATTATCTAAAACCAAGCAATTATATCATTTAATATTTCAGAAACACATTTTCAATTGTCGAATTATTAAATTTATACTAATTCTAAACAGTTATATTATATGAAATTCTTCTTATATTTACGAATAATCAGAAAAATAGGTTTAATTAGTTGTTTTTTTTTTTGTTTTTTTTGTTTTTTTTTTGTTGCGGATTTATGAATTCATTGCCGTTTGACTGTCTGTGTCTGTTAGCAGGCTTAGGCAAAACTAATAAATCAACCAGCACAACATTTTGTGAAGGGTATTCAGTCTAAGGAAGAAGGGATTAATTTTTGGGGTGACGATATCAAAGGTCAAGGTTATTATTACTACTTAATACTTAAATTGATTACCATCCAAATAAGATAGCATAGTACATAGGCCTACTGCAAGTATCGAAATGCACGCCATCGTGTCGTGTAGGGGATTCAAAATTTCGACATTAGTTATGTGACCATCAGGAATGATGAATCACCATCCAAGTCTATAAAATAAAATAAACACAAAATTCACAACTTACAGGTTGATAACAATGTAACATTTAATATTTGTACGTTCAATTTTTAAATTACATATTAAAATGAACATGAAAATAATACCTTTAGCTTTTTTAAATGATAAACAATAATAAAGAGGTATTCTATTACGTTATTATAATTAATTCGTTAACTTAATTCAATGTTGTGTAGGTGTGATCCATTTAAAATGGGTAGTGACGTTCGATAAAATGGTCCGATATTTCTTATTTTATTGAAGTCATTTCTCAGATCAGGACAAGGACTACTGACCAAGGATGTAGACAAGGATGACTCTAATACCACACCAGGAAATCTGGAATTATTTGCCAGGGTCCAGAACCTACCAAAATGTCCTTCGAGACTAATATAAAGGGCGATAGTTTGGGATTTTCAAACAGTGTCTCTCAGGATTACCGTACAGATCCACAATGGTCGCGTCCCGGCAAGGCGCGTCCCGGCACCTTATCAAACTTTTTCTCCTGCTAGCACTACGTACATCCTCATCTGCGTTCATTTTGAACTGGTTTACGGGAAAAGTGAGTATTATAATTCGATAATAAAATTTCATTTTGAAATGTTCAGAAAGTATTTAATATAGCTCTGGTATTAATTTAAGAATAATATATATTTTTTTAATCATAAGTATGTACAATAATATAGCTTGAAATAAGTCATCAACGCTTTATATAGGCCTATCTAGAAAACTTTTCTGTCTATGTAATTTCCTTAATTAAAGCTTTTTTTTTTCTTGAAGTCGAACACAATTATTTTGTGAGTTGAAATTCAAAACACGAAAGTTAAACACTATGCTTTGAAGTCTTTAAAATACAATAATCATAAAATCATTTTAAAAATAATAATAATTTTGAAATTAACTTGATTACTTTGCAGTGGTATACTAATTATTAACTGAAGCATAGAAATTACTAAATAAAAAATACGGGTTATGATTTTAATACTGGATGTAAAAGCACTTCCAGTGTTTCTATAATTTTTCGCTTTAAAATTATGCTTAAACACTTTTAAATACCTTAATTTCTTTGTTGAAGTTGATAATTTTTGTTTTTTTCAAAATGTTAGTTTAAAAAGTAATTTTTATGATTTATGTAGTATTTGTAATGAGACAGTACATCTTTAACTAATTTAAACTACTGTATTAACTTTTTAAGGTCTATAATACATGAGAGAAATATTTAAAAAAAATTTAACCTGTGATTAAATAGCATATGTCAGCAACTGTTCTTCGAATATTTTTAATATGAAATTTTATTTTTATGATAGGACAAACATTTTGTATGTATTAATGTTGGAAAAATGATGAATACACTATAAAGACCTAATATAGTCAACCCGGGTTTCTATATACGTTACAGCAACGCTTTTCCAGTAATGTATGTGTTAAAGACATGGATCTAGTGTCGTGGTATTATCTATAGTTTCGGAGCATTTTAAATATGTTGAATATGAATAGACTTATATTTTTGTTTTGTATTTCAATTTTCGTCTTTCTAGGATCACGATAATTATCAAGCTGGTGATGAAAGTGCTGAAGTCGAAATAAGGTCGAATGGTAAATAGAACACAAATTTGATAAAATTTCAATAAGAACAAACTGTTTAACATCATTATAAATAATTAATTACTGTAGTAATATCAGATTTAGATGATTGATTTTCACTAATTAACATAATTTTTTATTACATTTATTAAATTGCACTGTCAGCCAATTTCAGGTTGTGAAAATAAAGAGGATATTATTGAATTAGTGAAAACAATTTTATCTCGTTCTCAAATTTAATTGAAGCCGATGTAAATATGCATCAGCACACGTTATACATAGGCCTACTAAACACATAGGCCTAAGCGTGATTTTAAAAAAATCTGAATCCATAAATACCAGGCCAGGCTTTTCAGATACAGAAATGTGATATTGTATGGTTCAGTTTGGTTTTTATCCTTTTGCAAACTCTTTAAAGTTTTGTTTTAATACTGCAGTACTACTAGTAGGCCTAGTAATAATATTAATAATAATTATAATGATGACGATGGTAATAATAGATAATATTATTAAAAAGTGAAGAAAACTGTGCTAAAGGCGAAAAAGTAAGTTGTAATTTGTTGATCACAATTATTATAGTATAGTTAAAGCTTATTAAGTACATAGTTAGGCCTAAGTTGTCCTTGATATTAAGTAGATCCCTGATAAAAGATCATGAGAAATTTGTTGTCGCTTCATTTTGACTAGGCCTATATAATGATGATGAATTTTACTATATGATTCCGGCCATCACAGCTACTATTCCTCAAATTTTCTCACCTCAGCCCCAACTATGGTGGGCCTGAGGTGGTTGTGAAGTCACGGCTTTGTAGTATGTAAAGTGCATCCCTGATAAAAGATCATGAGAAATTTGTTGGCGCTTCATTTTGAGTATATATAATGGTGATGTAATGATGAATTTTACTAAAATTGTCTGGTCATCTAGCGGTAATATTCCCTAAAATTTTTGCACCTCAGCCCCAACCGTCTGAGGTGGGTGTCGACTCACGAAATGTCCTCCCCCACCTTTAAAAACAGATTGTGCCCTTTCTGGTTAAGACATCAATCTCCATCTAGTCGACACCTGACTCAGAGCATGTCTTAGTGACTGCAGATGAGGCAAAAATGCATAAATTTGCACCAGATTTGTGATCTGGTTTTACATGCCCATTTTTCGTGATTATGATTAGTGTTTTGAGCAGTGGTAGATTCAAGGCCCCCTCTCCCCTAAATTTGTTTAATTGAAAAAAAAAATATAGGCTCCCCCCACCCATCCAGATTTAAGTCTGTGAGTGTAATTTCCAGCCATCTTAGAGGTGCCCTAACAGAGGCGGATTTAGGGGGGGGGGGGGCGAAAAAAAAAAGAAAAAAATGATAGCCCACAACGCCTCAAATGTTATTTTCCGGCGTCTAAAACACAAAAATTTCCTAGGGCATTGTTGTCTCGATCGGCCCAAATTTCGGCCAACCCTTTCGGCCCCCGTTTTGGACATCTCTGGATCCGCCCCTGCCTAATCATATGTTTTTTTACCTCAGCCCCAACCATGCATGGTGGGGCTAAGGTGGGTGGTTCCTCGATTTGTAAAAGTTTCTCACTAGGTCACTTCCTGGATCCACCACTGTTGAATTTTATATAATTATTATTAGGCTTACTAATATTATTTATGATGCGTTTATTGTAATTTTCACTTTATCATCTCAAAGCAGTCCTAAAAACCTTCAGAGCGCGCTACATTCCAGGGGGCTTCGACCCTGGACCCCAGGGGTCTACGTACTCACATAACGACTCCTCCTTTCAAAATCCTGGCTACGTTTTTAAAAAAATTTGTTAAGAAGAGCTAAAAAGAAAAACTTTTTTTAAAAAGTTTTTTCTCCCCTATTTTTTCCCAGTGAGTTAGGGGTGGGTGGATGAGGGCAAACAAACTATTTTTTTTTCTTGGCGTAATGAAGAGGATATTGTTGAATTAGTAAAAACAATTTTATCTCGTTCTCAAATTTAATTGAAGCTAATAATATAAATTGTTGAAGATACTGATCCGGTATGTAAGACAATTATTCAATGTGTAAAGAAATATCCTATCGGTATGCTATAGCTATCAAACCCTTGGCACTGGCAGTGCTATGACTACTGTCGGAGGTCATTCAGGAAACACTTCAAATTGTAATTAGGCCAATCATATGCATTATCAAAAACAAAGTGTCAATATAATAAGCGAAGCAATGCGAGGCAAATCATGAAATAAATAAGGTACTTAGAGAACAGAGTGAGATGCAGTATTTTAAGAGAAATAAAGTCTGCCCTCTCATTTAAAACAAGCATGCAATGCGGGCAGGGTAGGGATCGAGTAACATTTAAATTTAGGCTATGTCTGAGAGTACCATTTCCGGTCACCTAGAGGTGCCATGAGCATACAATTTTGTACCTCGCCCTAACAACCTGTGGTCCCTCTTTTATGAATTCTTGGATCCGCCATTAAAGCTTAATTGATTGCCATAAATATATTATACTATAGTATAATATATTTTTAATGTTTTTTTTTTTTTAACTTTTTGTTGGCGTAGTCCTAGTGTTCAATGAACCAACTTGGAATGTCTATAATCTGTACGCTTGCCATTCCAGGTGAAGAATGTGGTCCAAACATGGAATACAGTGAATGTGGCGGTTCATGCCAAGCGACATGTGAGAACCCAAATGCAGTGTGTACTAGTGTAGGTGTTTGCCTAGCAGGATGCAGCTGTAAAGATGGTCTAGTACGCCAAGGCGACCAGTGTATACCATTGAGTGAATGTCGATGCGAGTACGATGGCAAATTCATGGACAATGGAGATATTATAAAGTTGGACTGTAACGAATGGTATGTTTGAACCGCTTAACGTTTCACTTGAACAAGCCTGAACCATAACCTATCATATAAATGAAATCCAGT